AGCAGCCACCTGATCTCCCTCACGTGACGCTTGGGTGGCTGCCGGGTCTTCCACAGTGTTGTCCGATTGGACTGCAGCGAACTGCTGCTGTCGCGGACCAGTTCTTACCTTGTCCACATAGGTTGGCTGCCACGTTGACTTCTCGTGTGCAGCTGACCTGTTGGTCTTGGTGATCTCCATTGCCTTATCAATGATCTCAGCATAGGTGGTGTATTGCTCGCAATCACCAAGTGTCTGGCTCAGTGCAGCACATGACCTGTTGTAGAACTCACGGCGTAGATGCGTGAATGGTAAATCCAGACCGGGCACTGCCGCAATCTTCTGCCATTCCGTGAGCCAGTCACGTGTTGCTGTGTTGCCCTGAGACATGGTGAAGAGACGGTTGATGGCGAGTGCAGGTGCGTCGTCGATGATGAACCGCTTCTTCCACAGCCGTGTCAACTCTTCCCATGTGATCTTGTCCTTCAGATCTGCGATGTCGACGCCGTGGGTGGCTGCGAGGTGAGTTAACCAGATCTGGGATCCGCCCTTTGAGTTCATGAACAAGGCGCCGATGTACGCGTGTTTGGCAACAGGGAGAATCCGAAGTTGCATCGTGAAAGCTTCCCACCAGAGCACCGGGTCTTGATGCGTGTAGGCGTCGAACTTCTCCAGTTGAAAGGTTGGCATCTTGTATTGCTTTGGATTGCCATACGTGTTCGTCGACTGCAGTTGCTGGACCTCGGTCTTCAATGCATCCGGCGGACTGCTGATGGTGGTCGGCGCAGCGAAGGTGCTGATGTCGCCTAGCATTGCCACTACGTGGTCAACGCGTTCCTCGAGTTGGCGGCTAGAGGGTGCACTGCTGGAGGCACCAGCATCTGGTCCTGGTATAGCCTGTTCCAGGTCCAGTACACGGGCATGGAGTGCCCGTGTCGCATCCTCGTGGCTCTGCACCATCCGGCGGAGGTTCGCCAACTCCTGGTGCTGTTGCTTCAGATGCTGGAGCAGCTGTTGCAGTTCCTGGTTTTGTCTCTCTAACTCGGACCGTTGGTAGTTGCAAGCATACAACAACCGTGTCACGAGTTTGGAGAGGAACTCCTTATGCTGCTCTTCCGGTGTTGCCTCGTTGCCGTTCGGTTCAAAGTGCCAGAACTTGAGTCTGTCGATGCTGTTGGCTTCATGCCGTTGCAGCAGATCCTGGGCTTCCTTGCGGCGAGCCTGGGCATCTGCGTCTGCTTCGGCCTGTAGCCGCAGCTTCTCTGCTGCTGCCGCTTCTTCAGCCTGTAGGCGGGCAGCCGCGGCTGCCAGTTGGCGTTGTTCCTCAGCCTCGATCAGAGCGATCTGGGCCTGGAACCGCCGTTTGTAGTCGGCCAGAGACTCGTTGGCCAGTTGGCCTGGCATGCCCAGAGCTGCGCCCGTCATGCTGACGTGGCACTGTGACTGACGTGGCACTGCTGACGTGGCACTGCTGACGTGGCACTGCTTACGTGTCACTGCTGATGTGGCACTGTTGCATACGTGGCACTGCTGACGTGGCACTGTCTGACGTGGCACTGTGTCTGACGTGTCACTGCTGACGTGTCACTATTGACATGTCACTGCTGACGTGGCACTGCTGCACTGTAGCTGACATGTCACTGTACCAACCGGGAAATGCATGCAAAGGGGTGGGTGGGAGGGAAAACGTAGGTAGGCAACCAACCCAACAATACTTTCCTCCGCCCTAATCAACAGATAAAATAAAATAAAAAAAATAAAAGAGGACTACTTCCTCTTTTTTTCCTTTTTTTTTTGGTATGCATGGGTCCTGGAGACCATCTCACGCAAGTGTGTACATGCCATGCATCGTTCTCCCACACACAACGAACAGTAGTCTGATAATAGGTAGAGAAGATGAGAACCGAGTTTCACAGCTTATATTATCAAAAATATGGATACAAAGTGTTTCAAAGTTTCCCTGAGTCCAGCGCTCATCAGCGCAACACCAATATCTTGCCAACTCATCAATATGCCTTCCAGTGAATCAGTGCTACCCCTGCAGATAGTC